CACACACATATATATATATATATATATATGTGTGTGTATGTATGTATGTATGTATGTATGTATGTATGTATGTATGTATGTATGTATGTATGTATGTATGTATGTATGTAAATTGTAAAGAAAAAAAAAAGGTAACCATTTTGTGTAGAATTAAGTTTGCTGTACTGTTAAAAACATCCAAAAGTCAGAAATGTTTGTGGTGACGGATGATTCCTCTGTTTTAAGTCTCAATCTTTCACTGTATTTGTTCAATGTGTGAGCCCGGTACTTGTGACAAAACATTCAGTTGTTTCAAACAACCTGCAGTAATGCAGTGCAGGGAAAAAAAGATCATAAGATGAGATGTCTCCGAGGTATTTGATGGTAATCCTGAATAAACAGGATGTTCTGAGCCTGTTGTGAAACCTATCAAAAGTACCTGGCCTTATCACTCACAAGAAGCTTTACTCATGGGGTGTGTGAGTGTTTGCCAGATATCACACACACACTGCACTTCAGCAAAGCACACTCACAACAACAGCAGAGCCTCACGCCTGTGCCCATGGCAATAGTCTGCAAGCGGATGACTGATTCCATAGCCAGTCCAAACAATAACACCACTGTACAAACCCTGTTTGTGTTTGCCTATTACCTAAGCACCCCCCCAACCTTTCCTGTTTTTATCTTGTTATTTCAAAACTGTTTGTTTTAGCTGGAAAATGAATAGCCAATGTCATGCTCTTAAACTCTCATGACGTTGTCTTTTGTCACAAGGAGGCCACTCCTTTACAAAACATTTGAGGGTAAATAAAGAAATAAACTTCTTGGTCAAACAGCACTGACTGCCTATCCAGTAACAGGCGGGTCCACCATGATAACAGGCAGTTTATGAACAATCAATACAGCCTTCTTCAAGGCTAAAGGAGACCACCACTGGGATGTCAATCAGACACAAGATGCTAAGCTGAAGGACAAAGTAGGACACGTCACAGTGTGTCAGGTGATATTAAACAACTCTAAGTATCAAAATAAAACAACAAACTGCATTATCTAAACTAAAGGAATAAGATTTAGTTAAATATTTACAACCATTATTGAACTGAGTAAAGTAGCCGGCTGCTAACTCAAGCACTCAGATTGCTGAAGGCGGGTCCTGCAGTATGTGGCTACACACAAGTCACATATTGTTCTCTTATGTTGAGCAAATTTGCACAGGAATTGTAGTAAGGAAATAACAGTGGCACGTAAACCAGCCACAGGTCACAGGGTTTACAAAGATTCCTGCTGAAATAATTTCTAAAACACTGCCAAAACATTCTGAAACGCCACTTCAACGGTCCAATATGACACCGACTCATTACGTTTTAGGATTTTATTATGCCATAGAGCTATGAGGTTTATATTTTTGGAGTTTAGAAGTTTCACAGCAAAGATCTGTATGAACTTTAATGACTGTTCAGGTAGTGCTTACCAAAGCTGACTTTTCTAACCTCAAACTCTGATTTTAGAACCCAAAAGAAGAACTGCTTCATGTATTTGTCACATCTAGACTGGACTGCTGCAAATATTTATTATCTGGGTGTCCAAAAAATTATTTAAAAAGTCTTCTATCCAAAATGCTGCAGCTAAAGTCTTAACTGGAGTTAGTAGGAGAGATCATATCTCTCCAGTTTTAGTTTCTCTCCATTGGCTCCCTGTCAAGTCCAGAACATAATTCAAAATCTTACTTCTAAAATACAAAGCTCTCAACAACCTAGCTCCATCTTATATTACAGATCTTATTGTTCCATATTTTCCCAACAGAGCACCCAGACTGCAGGTTTACTTGCAGTTCCTAGAGTTTCCAAAAGCAGAATGGGAGGAAGATCTTTCAGTTATCAGGCTCCTCTCTTGTGGAACCAACTTCCAGTTTCTGTCCGTGAGGCTGACACATTATCCAGTTTTAAGACTGGGCTCAATACTTTCCTTTTTGATAAATCCTATAGTTAGGATTGGCTTGGGTTTTCTGAGCTATCCTTTAGTTGTGTTGCTATAGGCTTAGACAGCTCGAGGACAAATTTACTTAATTTCTTCTCTCTGCTGCTGTCTTTACTTGCTCTACCTGTTTGTATTTGTAATTATTTCTATCTTGTGTTTTCTCTTTCCCCCTATAGAAAGAACATCTGGACCTGTTATTCTGTGTTGGTTTGTTTCTCCTTCCTGTCCTCTCAAACTCAGCTGATGGAAGCAGATGGCCGCTTGTCCTGAGTCTGGTTCTGATGGAGGTTTCTTCCTGTTAAAAGGGAGTTTTTCCTTTCCACTGTCTCCTTTGTGCTTGCTCAGAATAGGAGACTGTGACAAAGTAAAGATTCAACACAATCTGCTGCTTCCTTAGATAGAGAACTTTACTAAAATGCTTTTATAAAGTATGTGAATGTTTCTGTTCAGTGCCCTGAGATGACTTCTGTTGTGACTTGGAGCTATAGAAATAAAATGAATTTAATTTAATAGCAGACCTGTATTTCTTTGTAAACAAACGCCGTCACCCCAATGAAAAAAAAAAATTAAGAAATAAAATAAAAAGAAGCAAGAAAGAAAACTATATTGTGTCCTACATGTCCTATATCAGTAACCCCGTGGCCTAAAAAGAAAGAAGCAGGTAAAGATAACGGATGGATATTGCGTCTTACAGTTTTTGCTATTTGTTTTGTTGTTTACTGAGCTGCAGTTTGCTGCTGATGTAAGATCAGCAGTGCTGTATGGCAGTGTGGGGTACTGACCCTGAGCGAGAGAGTGCAGCGGCAGGCTCGTCTGTCCTGGCTGGATGGTGAGAAGCCCTTGCCTCTGAAGGTTGAGCAGGTGTTGCTGCTGGACCTGCTGGACCTGCAGGAGCTGCTGCTGGAACGCCAACTGCTGGGCAGAAACCTGCTGCAGGCAACACACACACACACACAGCACATCAGCACAACAGCTGGTATAAACACACAAAAGAGACTCTTGTACACACTATTTACTGCTTTAAGTTTGGCACCGTTTGAGCTAAGTTCATAAATATAATACTTAAGAACTGCAATTCTGATTTATAAAAAGAAACCCTTGATTAGTGTTTTTGAATGTGTTACCACAAAGTAGAACAATGCAACTTTTATAAATGTTGCCTTAAGAGCGGGTTTGTCCGGGTCGACCTAAGACAGGTATACAATACATCTCCCTCTCTCTTAATTAACACCAGTCGGAGGCAAATGACAAACAAGGAAACAACATAGTTAATCATTCATAATAAGAGCCACAGGAATTTAATTACAGCCATTCATAATTCAGCAAACAACGTGTGACTGAATCAAAGTGCTTAATAACCAGAAGTCCCATCTCTCGCAGGCAAGGCGCCGAGCGCAGGGACGCACTCTGTGTTCAGTCACACACCGTGGACTGACAGAGAGACGGCTGTTTTGTTCAGCTCACTGTGCTACAGCTGCTTCACCAAGAAAACAGTTAATGAAATTCTGGTGTGTCATCGCCATCTTTGGGGTTGTGGGGGTGCACTGGCTCAAAAACGTGACACGTGTGAACTTCGATCGGGTGAAAAAGTGATACGAAAGTAGGGAGGGAGAGGAAAAAAGGCAGGATAGAATAATAAATAGAAGGAAATCATTTAATATCCCGTTTCTTATGAATCAAAACAAATGAGAGATTTTATTTAGAAAAGGGGGGGGGCAGAGGGGATGACTTTTAACCCTTTCATCAATCCTAAAATGTGTTGTATCATTTAAACAAGCAGAAAAACTGTCAGTGTTTTCTGGCGGATGAGGGCAAAATAAGCTCGTCTGAGACCCAACAGGACGCGAGGTCTGTTTATGAGTACACAAGGCCAGTTGTCAAGCCTGGGGGAGGAGAGGATGGGGCACTAAAAGCATTGCTGGGCTGCCAAGCTGTGCACCGCACCCTTTTACCAAACACAGGATACACCACTTTGTTTACTTCTCACAATTGAGTGCATACAAAAGAGGTCTCTGTGCAGCGTGGCAGCCGGGTCACTCGCTGGCGGCCGTGAAGCCACTGAAACAGCCAGATAAAGTGGGTCCCCTCCGCCCACCCCCGCTCAGCATGTCAAAAGGGTCCGGGAACGTTCCTTTCCCTTCCTCTACCTCCCTCCCGCCCCACACTGAGCCCACTGCTCGACGGCTGACTACAGCAAGCGGGCTCATCTCATTGGATCAGTCAGGAGAAGCGGCGGCTGAGGATCATAACTGAGGAGTGGCCATTCATTCCTGGACCTGTGCGTGATCCAGCTCAGGATAAGGAGGAAGGCAGCGGTTTCAGTGAAAGTTATGCTGCAGGTTGCCTGGGATCCTCTCTGATCCTCCTTGTTGCTTCACGTCTTCTCTTCGCGTCAGAACAAGAGAAGTTTCACGTGTCTTTAGTAGCTCTTTGTTCCTCAGCTCCTCCCTGACAGCCTCAGATAAAGATAATAGTGCTACGGGGGTGGGAGATCACAGGAAACAATGTCTTTTATCAAAACGCTAAATAAATAGAGGGTGGCTTTTCAGAGGACAAAAAGAAAGAAAATGAATTTAACTCTCTCCCCTTCTCTCGTAGTCCCATCAGCTGACAGCAGCTCCTGTGCGCTCGCAGCATGCAGACACATTAAAAAAGCCCAGACCCAATAGACCAAATAAGAGGTTAACAAGAAGTGGCACAAGGGAGAGGAAAATACAGTCCCTGACAAATGAGAATGAGTGGCAGTGGCAGGTCTTTATTGTCAGGCTTCAAATATAAAGTTAAAGATCTTTGAAAAACTACATTTTGATGTCTTTAAAATAAAAGAGGCACAAAGCAACAACAGGGGGTTATTGTCTGGCAGCCACAGGGGACTCACTGCATCATTCTTATTCTGTCTTTTGATGGCTGCTAGAAATGCGAGTGAAAAAACGAGCGCGAGCAACGGGAAGAGAAAACAGAGCGAAGGGGGAGAGCCTCTTGAGGCTGCATCTATTTCCTGTGATCATACATAATGTGCTTAAAAAGTAGAATTTTTTCTTCTTTTATTCTCGTGCTCCATTCAACTGATCAATTGCACCTCCTTGTCTTCTCCCCCTCTCCTTCCTCCCCCTTTTCCCCTTTGCTCCTCCACTGTTTACATCAGATGCGACTCAGTGACAGGCCCTATCTGAGGCAGCGCAGCGCCGCTGTCACCTTGATTTATGGGAGCATCACGCCACAACTTGTCCAAACTGAAGCCCGCAGTTCATTAATTAGGGAGCTACAACTTTGAAGTTGGGCGCTCCGACAGCGCGCGCACAAGCGCCGAGCGTGAACGTGCGCGGAGGAGTGTGTCGGCTTTTAACATTGGGCTTAATTTTCCCGTGCCCTTCTTTGCTCTCCAAACGTGGAACTCAATGGGGACGAGAGCAAGAATTCCCAGATTGTCTTTGAACTTCTTCTGGATGTGCAGTGATAATTGTCTTTGTCCACAGTGAGGCCTGTCATTAACACGCATGAAGCTGCTGCCTGTGAGCAAGCCCACTGTGCTCTGGGGGAGCAGAGACAAATCAAGAATGAAAAATGATTAAAAAAACAGGCAACAAAGCTGGAAGTGTTCTCGGCACTGATGTCTCACAAGTACACGCCTTCTCTTCCTCTGCTAGTTCCATGTTAATTACCAAGAAAAGCCTTTCAGATTCATATATTCATATATTTATATAGGCATATGCTCCATGTTGTTGCCTTTCCTGATGTCCTGCTGCAACTTACACGAGCAGACATTTCTGTTATAAGTGACTTTAAAATGTTTTCTTCTTTCGGCTGCTCCCTTCTTCAGGGGTCGCTGCAGTGAACTAACTTGGCATTTGTTTTTACGCAGGATGTCCTTCCTGACACGACCACAGACCACCGAGCTACCACAGCCCTCTGTGATGGAGCAGAGAGCTGCTGTCTAGGACACCCAGGGAGCAGATGGTGGGGGTTAAGGGTCTTGCTTAAGGGCCCAGAGTGAGGGCAAATGAGGGTGGAGGCAGGTGTGGGTGTTTCACCTTTCCCACCCACATTTTGATGTTGTTGGTACTGGGAGTTGAACTGGCGACCTTCTTATCACAGGCTCACCTTCTAACCTCTATGCCACCAATACCCTAAAAAAGTATAT